TGTGAAAGAGCTTCCTATAACCCTTGTGAGAGAATCTGTCAAGGAACCAGAATGGATCACTTTCTAAAATTCAATAAAAATGAGGCAGATGGATCAAACAAATGTGTCTTTATATTATTTTATGCTCAGAATTACAGATGTGTTTCAAACCATAGAAGACATGCCTGAACATGTTGAAAGATGCCAAACTCTCCAGGTTCATTAGTTTGCCAATACAGTGGTTCCTCGCTTAACGAGCGCACCGTACAACGACGAAATCGCATAGCGATCCCTTTTTTGGGATCGCTAATGCGATCGTTCAACGTTGTTTAGATAGGGTGAAACTCGCTTTGCGAAGATCGGCAAGCGTTTCGCTTACCGATCTTCGCAAAACGAAGCCTGACGATCAGCTGTTCGGCGGACAAAATGGCCGCCGGAAGCCCCGAAATGGCCGCGTGCAGCGTTTTTGCGCCCTCGTTAAGCAAGGGGAGGGCACGAAAATGGCTGCTGGCCATCCCGGAACATCGCTGAACGGTGAGTTTTCGGCCCATTTGGAACGCATTAAACGATGTTTAATGCGTTCCAATGGGTTTTTTTGATCCGTTCAGCGATGTTTCGCTATAGCGAAGGTTAATCCAGAACAGATTAACCTCGCTATGCAAGGCACCACTGTAGATGGCCATCCAGTGTTCCCCTGGCATAGTGTGGGGGTGGGGGTGGGGGTGTTCACCCCAAGTCCTACAGGTCTTTTTGGTAATAAGGCTCTTTGGTAGCAGGTCTGGGGGATAAACACCTAGAAAGTTCTTGTTTTGATATAATAAATTTAATATCTGCAGGGTGTTCATCTTCACATGTAATCAAAGAGGATGTTTCTGCTGTGATTAAACTTGATCATATTGTCAAAAAACTCATATATTATCATATTAATACTGGAAAGCAGTAGCCAGGCAAAACAGATCTCTGCCCTGAGACTTCCTGTTTTGATCAGATAATCAAAACAGGAAGATTTTGATTATCTGGTCCAGAGATAAGTCAAAGGCATACAGGGTATATACCTTTCGATAAATTTGTTATGGTTGATCAAAAGGGGCTGGTCCTTTCCTGGTCATTTGTACCAACTGCATGTACTCTCGCACACAATTCCCATTTGTAGAATCAGTTTGTAGGGGTTTAGATGGGACTTGAACCCCATCAACATATCATGCTACAAAATGAACATGAAAGTGCTTGAAGTTGAAAGGGTTTCTGGTGTATTCTCCGCTGAAAGCTGCATTGTCAACAAATCCTATGACTAATTGTTTTAGGCAGCTGTCCCAGAAACTAGTTTTCTTGATTGCACACTAGGCTGCCAGCAGGTGTGATGAACACTTTAATCTTCACACGCTCAATGGGATGTTTGGACACCTCTGAGTGTCCTAGCCGAACACCAGGGGGTACTTTCACCTTCTTCACAGACAGAGGTGCATTTAAAATATTTATGACATAATTCTTGTTGGCATTCCCACTCATCAAATAGAAAGCGTCCTGCTGCAGACAAGCTTAATTTTCACATGTACCCCATTCAGTAGCATTTCCTCCTGAAAGAACAGCTCACTCTGCAGCAGTCCCATCAGATCCCATTTTTGGCTACTCGCTGTTTGTTGGCATTTGGTTTTAAAGCCTGGTTTTTCCACCAGCTGTTAAGATGGTGTGTTCCATCATTTGGGAGGCATCTTTATGAAACCCACCAGCTGTAAACTGCATACTCAAAGTTTCAGCACCGTAGTTCAGAATCGGCTCTATCATGGCCCTGCATGGGTAACAATTATTGTTTACGCCCAAGGGTAACATCAAGGTGGCTAAATAGAGACGCAATGGGGTTGTTTACTAAGAGAGCTCTAGCACCATCAGCAATGTCTGATCCCTCTGCTTTTGTGATCTTACATCCCACATAGAGTAGCGTGTTGTTTAAATCAATATAATCCTCACTGTTACCTATTATGTAAAATGCGATATGTACATTTGATGTTAGGGCTGCCAAAAGTGGTGCTGCGATGTTGCTTTCAACACTGGTTTGTGTAGGTGATAATTGAAAAAAGTCCAGTACTGATTTGGTACATTCTTCAGAAGTGCAGTGAATGAATGCCGTTTTAAAATACAGTATGTCTCTCCCGGCAGGTTTCACAATGTTTAACTCTCATCCTCCTTTCTTCTTCCGGTTCCCTAGCTTCTGAGGTTTCCTGTGTCTCCCACCTGTTGTGTTTTAAGGCTTGGGGAGGGGGGGTGTCCTACGCATTGATGAGATGCTTTTTGCTTAACTCTTCCCCTTCTTTTCAGGAACATGAGACCCAATCCCTCTTATGGGTTCATTTTTTCGTAACATGCCGTATGATATCTCCAATGATGTTATTGCTTAACATGAGGTTTAATAAACTCAAAACTTCTCAAAAGAGGGATGGTCCTTCGGAAGAAACCACAAAAAATTCCTCCAAATCCTGCCCTGTACATATTTGCGGCTCCATGGAAGCCATGGCCTGCTTGTGCGTTGCAGAAATTCCTACATTGACATCTCCATAGGTTTTTAATACAACCATTTTACTTTTTCTTTCTAGGTACCGCCTTTCCTGGGGCGAATATGCAACCTTATTACAATTTTCCCAAAGTTGAATGGCATGTATTTGTTCTGATCCGTCTTTATTTCTATGGTGATTGTGTTGATGTGATTCTTGCTTATCAACATATAGTGTGGTTTATAATAGGTAACTGTAATACAGTACATTCATAGGTTTCCCCCAACAAGTACACATCGTAGGAGGGGAACAGAATAGTCTCCCACATTCTGGTATTCTATGATATCCGTATATATGTACAAAGAGCTGAAACCTCCAGTAATGTCTGCAGCATGAACTCTCTCTCTCTCTCTCTCTCTCTCTCTCTCTCTGTCTCTCTGTGTGTGTGTGTGTGTGTGTGTGTGTGTGCGTGTGCGCGCGTGCGCGTGCGCGCGTGTGTGTGTGTGTGTGTTTGATGTGTTGATCTGGACGTACTTCCAAGATATAGGCTAAGTCACAACTGGCCAAAAATTGGTAAATTTCAGGGCCTGCGAATTTAACTTTTCCCATTTTCTGGAGGATCTGTGGCTGTTTTTATTATATCATTCATGTTGTCCAGAACATGTTAAATGTCCTTGTAATATAACTTGTGCCACTGAAACCCCACTTATTTACAGCATGAAAAATATAGAACCTGGCTTTTTTAGCAATCATGTACCAGCTGTGAGGATACTTCATCTCGAGTAAGCCAGCTTTCCAAACACCATTCAAATCTAAGGGTTGGGGTAGCATCGTTGTTAAGTTTGCACTTGTATTTTGGGGGAAGATGTCCTGACATATGTTGCTGGCGAGTGTGATGTAAAAGCCACCATCACTCACATTCCTCTCTGTTCTTCTGTACAGGACCACAGACTTGAGAAGCAGCCACCCAGCTGTTGAACTTACTAGGCCAGCCCAACCACTTAACTAAGTGGATTTTTCCTGTGCCCCTACCTTTTGTGTCCAGAATCTTTTCAATCCTGCACACCCTGTCTTCTCTGGCATTAATTCCCTGTACTTTTTCGGGACAGAAAGTCTCCACAATGGCATCCCCTTCATAATCTGTTAACAGGCATACAGATCTCTTTGCTCGTTTGATAACATGACCAACTATAAATATCTTGGTGGTGAAGTTCTGTTCATATCCCTTATCAAACACCCCCCTTCGTTTCAGAAACTCTCACGTAGTCTCCTTTTCTGCGCCATGAAATCTCTTCTTTTATTTTAGCATAGTTCCCTCACAGGTTGTTTTCCAGACAGCCAGAGCCCTGTGACCTACAACCCATTGTGGCCTCTCAACAAAAGCCACATGAATTCTTCACAACCACCAGAGATAACCAGAGTATGAACTTATGTCCATTGGGTAAAAACATTAATCTGTTTTTCAGCTTGGCACAATTGGCTATTTCTTCCTGGTGAATGAAGCAAATTGTAGGTCCTGGCTTTTGCTGAAAGTGGCTGCGCCTTTCTTTGTGTGGCCTGTCCCTACCCTCACGACTAAAGAAAACCTTGTTTCAAGAAAGCAATGTAAGTGTGTATGAGAGAGCAGGGTGACTTCAGTCTCAAAAGCCAGGATGTAAAAATTCAGAGCCTCACTACAAAGACAGGAAGAGGCCTAGCCTCACAAGAAGAACGGATCATCTCTGTCAGATTTGTAACATGAATTTCTGGACAGTTTTTTCTGGATCAAACATGAAAGGAGTGTGCTTAGAGCCTGCGGGCGTGGATTTCATCCTCAAAAGCTTGCTATTTGGTTTATTGTTAGTGGTCCAATAAAAGGTATCACCTACTCTCGCTTTTGTGTAATGTTTGGCACTACGCAGGTCGTTTCTTTTTTCATTCTGCCGGTGACATAACCCTCAAATATTCTACCTAGCAACAATAGGAAGAAAGTGGAAGACATCAGAATGGAGAACCAATCAAGAGATGCCAGGGGGTGCTAGAAAAAGAAGGCAAGATGCCCAGAGAGGACAAGGAGATAGATAGTATCTAAGGGCAGGAGTTTGGGTTTTCCACGGAGTTGTATAACACAGCCTTTATGCTTTTAGAATAAAGAACTTAACTTTATGTATCAAGTTAAAAGCTGCTTGGCTCTTATGATTTGGGCTTAAGGCAAACCTGGGAAAGGAAAGGGCAGGTTAAATGTGAATACTTAGGTTGGGTTGATCACACTGCCCCATAGAGTGGTCGTATAGACCAGATGGGCAGGATATAAATCAAATAAATAAATTAAATAAATAAATAAAAATAGTAATCTTTCCCTGGGGAAAGCAGAAAGAACTTCCTTAATCTTCCCTAGGAATATCCTGGTATGACATCAAAGGCACAGGCAGTTCCAAACTCCGAGGTCTGCATTCCGTGACGTCACAAGGCTAGCTGGGAGTCCTAGAGCAGGGCGCTGTTGTTTGTAGTCTGTGTGACGTCATTCGAGTCTGGGAATTCGAGGAAAGCCCCGCGCGCGCCTTTCCTGGACCAGGAATACCCTCTCCTAGAGTTAGGCTTTTGTGACGTCACGTCTGGGCGTGGGGATTCCGGTGGGGGGGAAGCCCCTCCCCGAGCGGGGCGGCACCTCCAGGCCGCGGGAGAAGCGCTTGGCCCCGCCATGGCTGCTGGCCTGCAGTTTCTGCTGCTGGTCCCTGCCCTGGGCAGCTTCCTTTTCACCTTCGGGACCGGCGTGGAGTTGATCCGCTTCGTCTCCCTTCGGGCTGTCCTCGGGCCGCCCCAAGCCCGAGCAGGTGCGAGTCCTTGGGCGGGAGCGGGCCAAAGAGGGGCCGGACGGGAGGGCGGGCTTGGGAAGGGAGATGGGATATTTTTGCGGGGTGTGTGTGTTTTTGCAGTGCTGTCTGTCCTCTTGAGACTTTTAACAGTAGTTATATATTTAGATTTCATTTTGCGTACATATTCTTAGGCTGCCCGGGCTTGAAGACGCCAAGGCACGTTGCGATCGCTCAACAGTGTTGTCTGAAACGGTTAAACTGTGAAAATAAAGGGAAAAGGGCGGGAGGGATAAAACTTGAATCCGAGAAAGAACAGAGCTTTGGAAACCTTGCTGGGTTTTTTTTGGGGGGGGGACACTCTCAATCCCAGAATCTTCCAGCTGGCCGCGGCAGCGCTAGTCCGAAGAAGTAACGTTTGCAAACTCTTGAAGGGAAAAAATATTATTTCCATGTTGTAACACGTTGTGTGCTTTCCAGGGCAGTCCTTCGCCTGCAAGTTGGCTCCTCGCCTTGAGGGCTTTGCAAACGGGACAAGCGGGCGGGAAGAAAGAATTAAAGATAAATCCATTTGCCCCCTAAAACCTGGTGATGGTGGTGGTGCGGTGGTTCAAGGCGCCAGATCAGCAGTGTCAGTGGAGGGAGACGGGGGGGGGGAATCTTGTGGTTCAGGTGGCGAGCAACGGCTCCCCCCCCCCCCGTTTCTGGCCGGGCAGGCACATGCCTGTTAGCCATCTCCCCATTTTTGCATGACTTTTGCATCAGACTTCTCTCCTTGGCTTCTCAGCAAAAGGCTCCCAAAAATGGCCACACTTACTACTGTACCACCACCAAATGTCTCTTAAAAACCCATTGTTGTCTGTGGCTCTTAGGCTGTAGTGTACGCCTGTCCTGTCAAAATTGGCCGTTGTTGCGGCTGGGCGGTTGTCGGGTCGTTCCAACCCCATCGTGCGGTGGCACAGCAGGCATGCCAGGGTGACCAGCCTTATTTTGAGGCCTCAGCCTGCCCCTTCAGGCTCTTTCTTGCCCTGAAGGCCTGTGCGAAGTATTAATCCAGCTAAACCGAATTTGACCCAACTCTGGGAGGCCGTGGAAGACAGGAGGGCCTGGCGTGCTGTGGTCCATGGGGTCACGAAGAGCCTGACACGACTAAACAACAACAACAAACTGACAATGATCCGTTCGGTCAAAGAATACGGACTGCTGGTGTTCTTGGTTCCCTTGCAATCTGAACTGCTCACAAATGTTTTGTACTCCAGTGCCGGTGTTGGTGTGCCAGTGTTGCCGTGTCAGAGTTTCACCGCACAAACACTGCCCAATACATAGCTGTAGTTACAGTCGTTCAATGAGGCTTGTGAGATGGGTTTTGTAGTACTTGCTTTTCAGAGTTTCACAGGTGTCATGGTGTGGCCTGAGAAGCAGCTGTTTGTTTTGTCCTGCCAGAAGAACTATTTCAAAGTTGCAGACCAGGAGTGATAAACACTGGATACCATCAAGATGCAGAAACTTTAATTTAAGTACAGTAATAGAAAGGGGGGGCTACATGTGTGTGAGCGAGAGGGGGGGGAAGGGAGAGAAGGGAGTGATTTTATAGCCTTTGTTGATTGATTAGGAGGCTTAGCAATGGTAATGTAGAATAGCATGGTGAATCCATTATGCTCTAGTTAGCTTGATTTTTATTGTTTTATTGGGCAATTGCTTTCAGAAGCTCATCTGAACCTTAGAGGCTTGGCACTTTAACAGTACGATGTGGCTCTCTCATCCTTGGAGGAACAAGAGTTTGCGCATCTAAAGAAAGTCCCTTAGCCACAGGGCTCAGTTGGCTATTTTTGTTCTTTGGGTGGCCTACCTAGTCAGTCTAGTATGCAAAGCTTAGCTCCCAAGTGCACTTGACAACTGTTACATTTCAATTCTAGTCAGTCTGGTATACAAAGCTTAAAGGACACAGCCAATAGTATTTTATCCCAAATTAATGGAATAAGTGGAAATCTGTTAGAAGCTTTCCTGTAGTTGCCCAGTCGCTTCCTGGGGACTGGGAATGCATTAGGACAAAGAAAGGCCCTCCCTGGTATCCCCATCAACCATACCTTTGACGGCAATGAGACCAAGAGGAGGGCCTTTCTGTCTCCGAAGAAAGCAATAGAATGGGAAAGGGGGCGAGGGAAGCGTCATTATGATTTTGGTAGCATGGGTGGTAATCGTTATTTTATATTCTGCACAAGTGAGGATACACTGAGAGCAGCAGAAAGCAGATGCAACAGTTCATGTGGCCCATAGACTGCAGTTCGCTGACCGTTGTATTAAGATAACAGAGAGCTAATGTCTCTTTCTTTAGGCTCAAAAGTGCACTTGACAACTGTTACATTTCAATGAGATGCAGCTGATCTCTTATCCCAGCCTCCTCTCTTTTTGCAGATGCTGCCTCTCATCCTCAATGGGGAGCTGCCCTGACGGATCCCAAGGTTCTCCGTCCCCTGATGGTGGATATGGGCTTGATCGTTCTCTTCATCCTTCAGCACAGCCTTATGGCCACTGAGAGCGTCAAACGATGGACCGGTGGCTGCTTTGGGGTTCTGCAGAGATCTTTCTATGTCTTTTGCACAGCACTGGCCATTCAGGTAGGCACCTCCCTTTGGGAGAACAAAGCAGGAGACTCTGAAGGCCAGAAGTCAGGACAGAAATGTTGCTCCATCCATAAAGTTCTGGGAGAACAAAGGAGGAGACTCTGAAGGCCAGGACAGAAATGTTGCTCCATCCATAAAGTAGCACAGAAGCGTATGAAACAGATAAATTGGGTTTTAAGTGCAGATAATTGAGTTTTAAGTGCAGAATACATTCTCCTGACACAGTGCTGTTTTGATTTGGTCAGCTGTGACTTCTCCAAGATACCCAGTGTGCTAATCAAGACACAGAAGATCTGGATTCAGATTCCGACTAACATAGAGTTGGGAAGGGACCACTAACCACTACCATGGTTAGTGAGGCAGAACTGATAAAACTACTCCTTAAATATCTTACTTACCTTAAAAGCCCTGTTAGGGTCACTATAAGTCAGTACATAAAACACAAGGAGGTTCAAAGCCGTGTGTTGTAGGATTGCCCGAGCCAGCTCTGCAGTTCCGGCTTCGTCTTTTCTCCTTGCTACAGGTCTGTCCTGGGAATGGGTCTTCCAAGCTACACTTGTGAGTTTAATCAGCTCAGGATAGCCTTTGGTATACTGAAGGGGAAATTACCTTGGAGAAATATATACAGTGGTGCCTCGCAAGACAATTTTAATTTGTTCTGCGAAAATCATCGTCTTGCGAAAAAATCGGCTTGTGAGGTTCCCTATGGGAACCTCGCAAGACGAATGAAATTTATTCGTCTTGCGAGGCATCAGTCTTGGGGGGGGAGTCTTGCGAAGCACGGCCATAGAAAAAAACTGTCTTGTGAGGCACCATAGGAATTACAAAAAGTAATCGTCTTGCAGGTTTTTCGTCCCCCAAGGCAATCGTCTTGCGAGGCACCACTGGATATTTGTGAGTGGTTATGAGGGTAGAGCCTTACCTTTTAAAAATTCTGCGTGTGATTTGGCTAATGTCTCCAGATTCTGCATGGCACAGATCTCACAAAATCCATGATATGATTGCAAGTCATGGAGTCCCCTGATCCCCAGCTGCTGTTAGGTGTGCAAGCAAATAGGCGTAACTCGTGCATGTGTTTTTTTTCCTCCCCTATAGCTACTGCTGAGGTACTGGCAGCCAGTACGGGATGGTCCAATGCTCTGGAATACAAGCACTGAGCCTTGGGTTACCTGGGTGCCCCTCATCTGTTTCATCCTCCACTTCATTGCCTGGCTGGTCATCTTTAGCATCATCCTCATCTTCGACTATGCAGAGCTGATGGGGGTCAAACAGGTACCAAGTAGTTTCCCCCTTCCCTGCCATCTAGAAAGATTGCAGTTCCCAAATCATTCACACTCCAGTGACATACCTGATGAAGAGGAAATGAGCGGAGCCATGTTTGGGGGGGGGGAACATGACTATTACTTTTGCAGGAAATCTGGTTGAGTCATACGGCTCTAGAAGCTGTGATTTGTGTTAATCATGATTTGTTTCTCTTACTTCTGGTTTGTTTCTCTTCTGCCTCTCTTGGCAGCTGCTTTTCCCCTGTAGATAGCTGATTAAAACAAGATAGTGGTTACAGGTCCAGGTGTCACTACAAGCCATGTTTTAACTATGCAAGTTAGACAACGAGTTTTGAGTTCAGGAAGTGATAAGTTAACAAATGGTGGCTTGTCAGCAGAGGCATAACTATGCGAGTTAGACAACGAGTTTTGAGTTCAGGTACTGATAAGTGACTGGTTAACAAATGGTGGCTTGTCAGCAGAGGCAGGTTTGCACATCACAAGCCAGGTTTGATTCATTCTTTGTTATTATGATTAAAATAGAGATGTGACGCCTCCTCACCACTTTCTCACTGTTAACAGCCCCGTGGGGTAGGCCAGGCTGCAAGAAAGTGACCGCCACAGTGTGATCTACCCCTGCAAACCCTCTCCTAACAATGCTGGTGTTTCTTCTCTTATATCTGTTCTTGTTTCCCAGGTTTATTACCACTGCCTCGGCATGGGAGACCCCTTGGCGGTGAAGTCCTCGCAGGTCGTCCGCCTCTTCTCCCACCTGCGCCACCCTGTGTATCTGGAGTTTCTCCTCATCCTCTGGGCTGTTCCGTGCCTCTCCCTGGACCGCCTGCTGCTCGCCGTGCTCTTCACGGCCTACTTGACTTGTGCCCACAGCCTCGACCAGCAAGACTACCTCTACCTCCGAGCCCAGCTGGACAAGAAATTCCAAGTTTTCTCTCGGGAAGAGGCAGCCTATGGTGACCTGTTGGCTCAAAATGGGCCCTCAGCCTACAGGGCGAACTGAGTGAGGAGATCATCTCAAGTCTGGCTCCTCAGGACCAGACAGGCTGAGTTCCTCCCATGCTGAACACTGATGGACGCGCTGTGTCTTAACATCTTTTGCTTTAATGCACTCAGGGTCTAGTGGCCTACCAAAACAACCCAGGAGCCCTGGCTTCCAGCATTCCCACTCTCTGTTGACTCCCTCAGAATAGGTGTGTGGAGCTTCTAGCTCTTAATTCCCAAGTTAAAACCATCCTGTTGGGCTGGATTCAAACCAGTCCAACAGATTTGAATCCTGTGAGGAGAAGTGGAAACTCAGGACACCAGAGTTTTGTAATATGTTAAAGGTAAATATTGGGGACTCCCCCCTCCAAATTTTGACAAGTTCTTTAAGGAAGAGCAGCAAGAGTCCCTGGTAGTTGGAATCCAAGTGATCATCCCCACCCTCACCTCCAGAAGGCCTTTCTGTGTCTTTTTAATAGCCACAAGGCAGGCAGGCAGTCCAACAGGCAGTGTTTTTGCAGAGGAAGGCAGAACAGCCTTGCTGGTGTAAGAAAGAGGTGAAGCTGGACTTCTCAGTGCTGTAATATACTTTGGGCACAGAGAAGATGGCTTTGTCTTTTATCTTTTTTTTTCCCTTTCATCAGCATCTTTTCATGTTTTAATAAACTTTTATCAACATTTTTACTGCAAAGATTTTGCCAACATGTATTTTTTTTAAAGCAAAGGATTTTTGTTTCACTAACAAGCATGCTAGAGATCATGTGCAATGTGTTAGGAAAATTAGAAAAAAAAATTCTATATATCTGTTGCCTCTGGAATGGTGGCTCCAAGGCATTCTATGCAGCAATTATGCAGAATTAATCACTTATTCTCTTGCTTGTTCTTCCATCCAAGAGTCACTTAATGATTAAGCCATTCTCCTTTCACTAAGAGGCAGAGGCCTGTCTGGGTCAAGAAAGAAAATGCATTAGAAACAATTCATGTCAAAATGCTAGCCATGCAGTACGTCAATGACCCTTTAAAAACTAGTGTAGGGAAGGGAAAGGTGTAACCCTCCAGATGTGGTTGGCCAACGCTCAGCATGGTCCAGACAGGACAGATGTGAGTTCAGCATCATCTAGGACAGATGTGAGTTCAGCCAAACATATCCCACTGCCTTAATATTAGACTTCATAGGGTTATTCTCATCTGCTGAAAAAGGGAGGGAGATTGTGTTGGTTTACATGTGACTTTCTGAAATTTTTTTAAAAGCATATTTTTTAAAAAATATTGACTAGGTTTAATTAATGTTTATGTGTTATGTTTTAAATTAGGGTTACTACATTTTATTCTCTGAGACCAGGGGTATAAATCTTGACACCCTGGAAACATTTTCTCCTTTAAGACAAGGATAGGGATGCTGTGGTCCTCCAGATGTTCTTGGGCACCATTTCTCATCATGCCACGATTAATGTCCATGTTCACAATTGTTCATGGGAGTTGTAGTACAAAAACATTTGGTCGGACAACAGCTTCTGACAGCTTCTTGTCGTGGGGCTCATAAACAGTTACTGTGTATTGGGAAAGAAAGTATATACCCCAACTTAGAGTTAGGAAGAAGATGGGAATTCATCATGTTTAGATTTATATAACTAAAAATAAATGCAGGAGTGCACTAATAAGTCCAGATCCTCAAACAAGCCTTGTTTCTTACTTAGATGGGAAAAATCTCTCCAAATCTGGATCCAAAATCCTCAGTAGGATAGGATGCTAAGAATTACAGGCTTTGCTGGGCTGTATCCGATCCAGAAAGATTTTAGCCTTAATTTATAATCTAATGCCTTGCACATTTACGAATATTTCACTTTAAATGCAGCCATGCTTTTATTGAAAAAAAAATATTTTAAAAAATCTGTATGCCAATGCTAACAAAGCTCTTTTATTTAGCAAAATGGAAATTGCCACTGTGAGAAAATAATGTTTGGTAAAGTAACTTTTTAAAAATCTCAATGTTTCTCTTCTGATTGCTTTTGCTCTCTACTAGAAGTTAGATTCAAATCAGGAATGTAGGACCTGCAAATCTCCAGATGTCACTGGCTGCATCCCAGTCAGCAGGGCCAGTTATCAGGGATGATGGGGGTTGTAGTCCAGCAACCTGGCAGGGGGCACAGCTTCACCCCATAGTGTTCTAAATCTTTGGGGCTTTGTTCTCATTTCCCAAAACAAGGGGTGGTAACTGCTCCTAGAAGCCAAATCTGTGTTTCTCCTGACACCTTCCGAATCATTTGCCTCACAAACAAATGTGAAGAAACCAAGCTCTTCTGTTTGATTTAGTAAGATGTGCCTCAGCCTTTCCTGAACAGATGCAACCCATTTACTGTGAAGGCTTGGGCACCTAGAAAGCACTGACTCTGTCCTGGAACTTAATTTCTTGTTCATTGTGCTCAAGGAGGGCAGGGGCTATCGTGTGTTGGTTCCTATCCTGAAATTACTCTCTAGGCCAGCGGTCCCCAACCTTTTTGGGGCTGCGGACCATCTGGGGCGAGTGAGCTCCATGCGTGGGGGGGCGGGGGCATGTCACACCTGCACAGATTGTTGCGCTCATGCGCATGCGCACAAGTGTGACACCCCCGTGTGGGGGTAACACACCCACCACACGGGCGTGTGGAGGTCCATATCTGCGGCCCAGTTCTGGAAAGCCCACAGACTGGCACTGGGCCGCACAACGGGGGTTGACGACCCCTGCTCTAGGCTGGTGCTTCTCAGTCCTGACCCCTGCTCTAGGCTGGTGCTTCTCAGTCTTTGGCCCAGTAGATTATTTTGGACTTCGATTCCCAGAAGCCCTGGGCAGTATTCTGGGATTATTGGGAGTTGACTTCCAAATCATCTGAAAAGCTAAAGATTTTGAACTACTGCTCTAGAAAGAGGATGATTCCTTTGGCACCTGGAAGTAGCTGGTGGCAAATCACGCAAGTTATCTTTCTCTTTTCACTGTGACCAGGGGATAACTAAGTCACATCAGGATTGCAACAGAAGGAGGGGTAACTTCATTCCTTTTATGGTGCAACTGTTTTCATCTCCTAAAAGTGAAACTTTTAGAGGTATATTACCACACATTAAGAAGTTTCCACAGGCATTATTGCGTCCTGAGAGAGAGAATGCCTAAGGAGATATCTTAACTTGGGGCAACTCACCCGTACCAATTACACCTTTTGTGTAACTTGCAACAGGATTTGTAATCATTGCAATCATTGGCCAAAATCCTGTTAGTATAAAAATAACGACCGGATAGGAGTAGCAGAAACTGGGGATATCATTAGCTTTGATGGTAAAATGTAATTTGAATTAATTAAAAAATACCCTGTTCTCCCATTTTAGGTTCTGAGGCTCCCTTTTACCCCAAGGCTGGTGATGCAGTGGTGATTTTTGGCAATTAAAAGGTCTCCCCCCACCCCCCATCCCAAGGAAGCCTTGGAACCTAAAATGAGGAGATAGGAAACTTTTAATCAAGCACTCTCTACATTTAAACATTTAGGAAAATAGAGCAAGGGTGGAGAAGGCAGAATTATGTGTTCTTAGTATGAAGGAGAGAAGCAAGTTAATAGAATAGAATCAGAACTGAGTCAGAAGGGACAGATAAGGCTGAGTCTAACCCGCTGCTCCAGGCAGGAATCCAAATCAAAGCAGATCTGATTGACAGCTGTCCAATTTCATCTTGAATGCCTCCAGTGTTGGAGTGCTCACCACCCCCCAAGGTAATTGGCTCCATTGTTGTACTGCTCTAACAGTTAATAAGTTTTTTTTCTGATATTCAGCCTAAATCTTATGTGATAAAATAATCCTTCACCTGAACGCAGATTTTAGCTGTGTTGAGATAATGTATTTTCAGAAAATTAGGTGTGTTTGGGGGTTTCGGCTGGCATTACGTCAGGTCTCCACCTAGCCCTTGTAACTTCTAAATATATCCTAGATGGATATCTGGCCTCTGCAGAAGTTGTAATAATGGATTGGTACTGTAGTCTGACAGTAACAGGCATCTGGAGAGGGTTTCCATCCAAGCATGGGGACCACTGCTGATTTCCAGAACCTTGGTCTTCCTCTTCTATGCTTCTATTTGTAATTTGTCCCCTGTGAACCTATGAGCCCTGACAAGATGATGCACCACCATCACTGTTTGCATTGTCCTGTCCATGTGGGCAGAGGTGCAGACTGGACCCAGCTGAAGAGGACATGCTGACGGAAGTAGAGAGGAGTACTTCTGGAGCCATCTCCTAACTCCTGGAGCTAAAACTCATTGTAGCCATTGAGTGTGCTTGATTTTGCACACCACACTGCCAAGACTGGGCAATGTCCTTGTTCCCCTCCTCTTTGGTATCTATGGACGATAATTCCCATCCATCTTGGGCACCATAGCTAATGGTGAGGGGAGATAAAAGTTGCAATTCAACAATGCCAAACAGCCACCCTCAGCATTAAAAACCCTTTACAAGCAAACTGTTCAAGCCCTGGTGCGAGTCCAGTCTGCCCAGCCCTACCCTCTGGCAGAATTTAGTGCGTGCCCCCCCACAAAATTAACAGGCCCCACCCACCCAAGAATGGAAAAACAGAGTCTCTACCCATCTCTTTTTTTAAAAAGGCAATAGACATTTCTTCTTGCCAGTCTTATCCATCAGGAGAGTATCTACAAAACTATCCAAGTAAATATGTTAATGATATTTCTGCATTTAGGAGTCTGGAAAAATTACCTTGCTCAGGTACAACTCCCAGAATTCCCCACATATACACCCAGCATCAGCCACACACTCTTTAGAGCAGTGGTTCCCAACTTTGAGTCCCTGAATGTTCTCGGACTAAAATTCCCAGAAGCCTTCACTGCTAGCTGTGTTGGCCAGGATTTCTGGAGCTGTAGTCCAAGAATATCTGGGGTTCCAAAGCTGGGAACTACTAGAGTTCAATAAAAATAGACTTCCCAAGCTCTGACTACACCTATGTACACCTGCAAGAGCCTTTCATACAGATACTTATGCAACTGGTTGACCTGAGGTGGTTCTCTTGGATCTGAGATGCATGCTCATGGCACCCCCAAGAACACACAAAGCTCCCTTATTTAAAACCAGAACATTGCCTGTTCAGCTCCCCAAACTTTTGGGAGTTGCAAACCCTGGAGGTTCTGCTAAAATGCGTAGGGAACTTTGGGCCCTCTTGTTGGTGGTGAACTACTTCCATCATGTTGCACAAGGCTAGCTGGCACTAATGGGAAAGGCCAGAAATGTGATGGTTGTTGCGGGTTTTTCGGGTTCTTTGGCCATGTTCTGAAGGTTATTCTTCCTGATGTTTCACCAGTCTCTGTGGCCGGCATCTTCAGAGGATTTTTTTGCTTCGTTCTTCTTTTCTGTTTTACGAAAGCTTCAGCTGGAGCCAATGCATATCACACAGAGATGGGTAAAATTACCATTTTGGACAACAGGTCTCCACATATGCCAGCCAATATGACCAGCAGTTAAAATATTCAGGGAGCTGTAATCCAAAAGAGTGCCAGAAATTTCCTCACTGTGTGTTAAATCCATAAGAAATACTGCCTTAAGGCTAAAATATGCAACTGAGAGATGTTTCCTGAAAGTTTAAAACCTAGACAGCAATGCTCTTTGTTTCAAAGAGTCAGTTTTTACAATCTGTTCACAGTCACTAAGAAAATCCTGTTCAAGATTATAATTAGCCAGTAAGTGGTGAGAGAGCAATCAAGGGCCTTATGTAATGACCACAATGGGTTCATCTTGGGCAGTGGTTCCCAAACTTCAGCTACTCGGGCATTCTTGGACTGGAATTCCCAGAAGGCTTCGCCACTAGCTTTGCTGCCCGGGGTTTCTGGGAGTTGCAGTCCAAAAACACCTGGGCTACCCAAAGTTGGGAAGCCCTGAGGTAGAAGAAAAAGATATGCCCGTTGTTGCTCTTTTTGCATTATTGTGCTGAGCAGGAACCACCCCCGTATTTGGTATCTTGTGCTGTGAGTTCTGTTGTTTGCGCTGCGAGGTGCTACTTCCATCCTTGCCCAAATTTATACACCTGACAAAAGGTATCTCCCAGGTTGTTGGGGTCTTCTTTGCTGCAGGTATTCAAGCAGAGCCCAGATAGTTGTCTTTTTAAGAGCTACTGCAGCTGCATTCTGCATGGCACAGCCGGCATCATGGAGGGGTGTGTGTGCTGGAACAGAACGAGTGTCGGATCACTTCCAACTTCATGATTCTAAGCTGAGATTAGAAAAGTGACTGTCTTGGACTAACATTCCCTGAACCCCCCAGCCAGCCTCACCGCAGCAATTTTCAAACTTCCAGTCCCAGTTCGAAGGCATTATCTCACTATGTTCTTGGCTAGACCGCAAAACCGACAGATACGTAGGTATTATAAAGACTGCAGTCCAAAATATCTTTTAAAAAAAACAGATTTCTTTCCCTTGGCACACTGGACAGCTCAAATGCTGGGGTCAAAACACAGAGGTGGCCAAAGAGTTTCCCGTCCTAGGTGTGTGGCTACCGTTAATGGATAGCATGCTGAGGCAGAGGGGTCAATTTTGTGTTCTGTTCTCATGCATCTCGCATCCTCCCTACAGTGACGAAAACAGGCCGAGAAATAAACATTACCTTTATTGATATACAGAAGCTCTGGAGCCTAGGGATTTCACATGAGCTCAGGGTGGGGACGGGACAGGGCAGAACCACCCTCTCAGTCTATCCAGCAGCAGAAGCTGCTAACATTCATCCTCTCCAAGCAAAGCAAACAAGTTCCGTCCTGCCAGCGGCTTCCCCTTCCTGGAAGGGGCAGGCTGGCTGGGCCCCACTTTGGGGGCAGAGAGCGGGTCCTCTTCCTCCTCGCCTTCTTCGTCCGCATCCCGATCTTTCTCTTCATCCTCCTCCTCCCCCGAGCTGGAGATCTCGTCGTCTTCGTCGTCTTCTGCCTCGTCTTCCTCGCCGGAGCTATGCTTGTTACGCTGGTGAGCCTCTTGCAATGCGGCAATCTCAGCAGCCTCCGGGTGATGCTCCCACATGGCTGCAGGGAAGGAGACGGGGCTGTCAATACCACTGCATTGCTCGGGGGGGGGTGGAGTAGGGGGTCAGTTCTAACCTAGGTGGGAGATGCCAGTGGGAATACAAGTGAAAAAACAGTACCAGCCCTAGATTTCAGAATTCGTTCTCCTGTCCAACAGGGGAGGGGGTGAACTCCGAGAAGCTACTTCCTCTAATTCCATAGCTGGCTGGTGAATTGTAAGAACCATAGTCCAATTAAGAAACTTTCCTCTGACTCCCAACACTGACAGTGCATCCTTTGAACACAACAACTTTGCTGGGGAATAATGAAAAATGGAACCCAGCACATCTGGAAACGGACATGCTGGGGAATGCTGAAGTAAGCCCTTTCCTTACACTTCCATCGACTCAGAACTGAAATGGAGGTGTGACACCCAAGAGGATTTTTCTTTTACTGATCTAGCCACGTGAACAAGATCACGCAGAAGGCAGTGTAATTTGGGCTTTTAACAGTGAAAACCTGTTCTCTGAATATGAGCCAGGTATTTCCTATTAAGACCGGCCCTTCTCCACAGCTCCACTTGATAACCTCCCTTTTCCACAACTCCCCACTCTGGGAACGCTGGGGGAATGTGACACGGTCTGGGTACCTTTGTTTGCAGTGTAGCCCGGTGGGCGCAGGCAGGCACAGAGGCGCCCGTCCACGGCTAGGCGGAGGAGGCTGTTTGCGGCTCGGTAGACATCGTTGCGGGCTCCCCTGCTCGTTTTGTAACCTCGTTTCTCAGCCCAGGCTAAGGGGAAGAGGAAAGTGTCCAAGTTAGACTCGTCGGAGGGTGGGAAGGGACCTTGGAGGTCTTCTAGTCCAACCCCCTGCTGAAGGCAGAAGATCTCATACCATCCTAGAGAGATGGCTGTCCGATCTTTTCTTGGAAGACCTCCAGCGATAGGGCACCCACAACGTCGGGAGGCAAGCTGTTCCACTACTTAATGGTTCTCATCGTCAGGAAATTCCTCCTGATTTCCAGATCAAGCAATATTAACTCTTTTTCATGATGACAGAATTTCAGCAAAAGCATGAAAAGTGATTTATCCTTTCCACCCCAGGCTTTCTGCTAAATTTGAGTATGGCACCTTCGTATGACGACCTGAAGCCATTTTACCTTCACAAACATCCCACGCGCACCACGGGGGCTCAGGTTTGCCGTGTTCAGCGTCCGGATGCTGCAGCTTGAGCAAGGCTTGGATGGGAATTCGGTTGGCAAGGTATCCTACAGATGTGTAGGGCTCCTGGATCTGCGAAACTGGGTAGATACCAGCCAGGATCTAAAAAGCAGAGGAAAGAGGTCAACACCTAAGCCTGCAAAATTCCATTTCCTATATATCTTTATTTATTTTATTTATTTATTTTTGGACTTATATACCGCCCCATAGTGCTACAAGCACTCTCCGGGCGGTTTACAATTTAATTATACAGGCTACACATTGCCCCCCCCCCCAGCAAGCTGGGTACTCATTTTACCGACCTCGGAAGGATGGAAGGCTGAGTCAACCTTGAGCCGGCTACCTGGGATTTGAATCCCAGGTCGTGAGCACAGTTTTAGCTGCAGTACAGAGTTTTAACCACTGCGCCACGAGGCCAGATTGACCAAGAAGCCAGAGTAAAAGAGGGACATTGTTCCCCTGTGGAAATTCCCCCCCCCACAAGAAATCTTTGTTCAAAACAGAAGTTCGCTGGCCTCTCACTGACTCTCACATCTGCCTGAGCAGAGAAGAGCAGGCAGGAGTCCCATCTGATTTATCGTTTCGTTTATTTCTTATATCTATAGATTCTTTCCTTCTCTGAGCTCAAGGCAGAGTACATGTCCCCACCAACACCCACTTTATTCTTGCAACTGCTCTGTGAAGGAGAAAAGGCTTAGAAATGGTGGCTGGCCTAAGGTCACCCAGGTGAACTTCACGAATAATCTCCCACATCCAACGCTAACCACTACACTCTTCTCCCTTTCACACAGCAATGAAACATTCTGTTCACCTGTAGCATGGCCTATGGGTAAGGAACTGAGTTTTTAACAAAGGAACCCCTGCAGCTACTTGCAGCTCCTTGGGTGACACAGTAGCTATCTTTCTGCGAGCCTTGTGGTGCAGAGGTTACGCATAGCAGCTAAAACTCTGCTCACAACATGGGTTCAATCCCACATAGCCAACTCAAGGTTCACTCAGCCTCCCATCCTCTGAGGTCAGTAAGTTGAGTATTCAGCTTGCTAGGAAGGAGCTGGGGAGAGAAAATGTGTAGCCTGCATGCTTAAACCACCCAGATAACTCTTTAAGCATGATGGGGCTGTATATAAGCAGCACACTTTGCTGTTTTTCCCCTCTCTCTAAATGATAAGATACGCAGAATGTTATTCTTGGAAACCACATTCTTTTACTAGAGCAACCGATGAAGATGAAAGCCAAATCATTTTGCTAACGTACTTCTGTTTATTAGTCACTCTTATACACATGCACAGAGAAGGGGAGCACAAATGACTCAGCTGCTCAAGATCTATGAACTATCTGACATTGAACTTGGGCTCTATAAAATGCTTATCAGTACATCCCCCCTCAAGCTCATTCAAATGTACATCTTTGTCCTTCAACCACAAAGAATCAGATCAGGCTTAAATCAGATCTAATGGCACTTCATTCATTTGCTCTCTGGCTGTGTTCTTCCATCCATCTCGGACAAAATCAGAGAAGCCTATTTGTTCTCCTTTGCATTCTTGCAACATTCCTGCGAGGCAAGGAGTAGGTGGAGAAATATAAAGTATCCCATTGCCAAAGAGAAGCCAAGGAATAGTGAGGCTCCTTCGGGTGGCCACCCTGAGGGAGGCCCATAAATCATCTACAAGTGGCAGGACCTTCTTTGCAGTGGCTCCCACCATGTGAAACCAGCTCCCAGAGGAGTTTCGCTTGGCCTCCTCCCTGCTGATATTTAAGAGGCAATTGAAGGCATGGCTTTCCAAGGAAGCTTTCCACTCCAACCCTAGCTGAGTTGAGTTGATTGTACATCTCTGTCCGGTCACCGTTATTTTTATTTTCATTGTATTTTTATTTTAGTTCCATCATTGCTCTGGTGCCCTCTGTTCCATTGTTTATGTGGTTAGACTGCTATATTGTTTTCACTATATTGCTCCATCCTGATTATGCGTATTTTATTGCAAACCGCCCGGAGTAGTGCTTCGGCACTAATTGGGAGTGGTATACAAATTACGTTAATTCATAAAATAAAACAAGAAATGTGGCCGCCCATCTCCTCTGAACCTTTGCCCCCCATCCCTTTGGTAAGACATGCCTTCACCCACCATAACGTTTTACCTGTTGTTTCCTGTCAACAAGAGAGGGAAAGATGAGCCCAGGACAGTCGCACAGCTTGACTGTCGGTGTCAGGAAGTACGTCTGGAAATACTTGGTATGACCTGGAGTGGGAGAGACACTCACCACCTTGTGGCCCACCAAGCCATTGATGAGGGAGGACTTGCCCACGTTGGGAAAGCCTGCGGAGAAGAAGACCAGAAGGGGGAGATCAGGATCAGAAGGTGATTCCGTCGTTTGATGGCTCCAAGCCATTCGCTGGGATGGGAATTCCTCTTTATCCAAGCCTTTCAAGGCCCAGAGTTCTCTATTTACTTTTGCAGCCCTGTTTGGTGGAGACGGTGCTTCACAATGTTAAAAGAGGGAAAGCTGGTCTCCACTCACTCCAAGGAGCTGAAAATGGAGTTGAGGGAGAGAAGCGGGGGATTGCAGATGCCGTGATATATGCTGAAATTTGGTTCCAGCAGCAGAGAAGGATTAAGAGGAGGAATCTACTTCCAATAATAGGGGTTGAAGGAGATAAAAGAGTCAAGTAAAGGAAACAAGGCGATCTTTAGCTTGTCAAAAATTGTGTAAATGTTATGGGCATGAATCTATTTCTTTATAAATTTCTTTATTCATTGTTTACACTTATGTCCACCTTCCCCTAAGGGTAGGGGTCCCCAACCCCAGGTCTGTGGCCTGGTACCAGTCCGTGGGCTTCCAAGGACTGGGCCACGGAGACAGATCTCTGCCTGTCCGCATGGCGGACGGGTGTGTCATGCTCACGGGTAGGTGTGTCATGCTCGCAGGGGGCGTGTTGCACTCGCGCATGCCCTGGGAGTGCAGCACCCCCCCCAACTGGTCCGCTGTTCCAAAAAGGTTGGGGACCACTGCCCTAAGGAACCTCAAAGCAGTACATACAGCTCCCCTCCTTTACCCTTCATCTATACAACCCTGTGAGGCAGATCATGCTGACAGATTCCTCATCTGGGCTTCCTGGCTCAGCACGGACTAGAATGAAAATCTCCAGAGTCCAAATTAAGCATAATAAACCACAAGGCTGCAACGAAGCTGTATGAAGAAACAAAGCCTGAAAAAATAAGGCTGATGCCCCACTTGGTGGATAGCCATGTGAAGCAGCCTTGCAAGCAGGCCTGCAGAGGAGGTCAGCAGTAAAAATAGTTCATCCTCTGGCTGGGAGCTGAGAAAAAGAGGAAGGGGGAGCTTTACTGCTCCTTCAATAGAGAGCCACAGTTCTATGCTGGGTGAGGGGGGGCGCACTAAGCTCTGGTTTGCTCCATGCAGAGGTGGAGCAAGCCTTTCAACCCTCCTGAACCACCCTGCTTACGTGTCTGCACTGACTTAGTGGTTCCCAGGTAAAGGTTAAGGTTAAGGTTCCCCTTGACAATTTTTGTCCAGTCGTGTTCGACTCTAGGGGGCAGTGCTCATCCCCGTTTCCAAGCCATAGAGGCAGCGTTTTGTCGGAAGACAATCTTCCGTGGTCACATGGCCAGTGCGACTTAGACACGGAACGCTGTTACCTTCCCACCGAGGTGGTCCCTATTGATCTACTTGCATTTGCATGCTGTTGAACCGCTAGGTTGGCGGGAGCTGGGACAAGCGACGGGCACTCACTCCGCCGCGTGGATTCGATCTTACGACTGCTTGGTCTTCTGACCCTGCAGCACAGGCTTCTGCGGTTTAGCCCACAGCGCCACCACGTCCCAGACCAACACTTAAAATTCACATTGGTTTGAAAGTTTTAAAAAAAAAATCAGAAGGATGGGCTGGATATGGAAGAGAACAGGGCAGCAATGAAGGGATCCATGGAAAACCTACAACCGGGACAACAGGAGAGAAAGACCACTGTGGAGAGCAGAGCTTGGGACGTTATGGTTATGGGCACTTATGACTCCCTCGAACCCACTCTGCAGGGCAGCTGCCATTGTGAGACAACCGAGAAAGAGAAAAGCTGTCGAGACTGAAGACCGCGTAGTCCTTCCTTGAGGAGAGAGGATCCACTAGAAAAGGCAACACATCTGGGGAAAGCTGAAGGCAGACACGAGAGGAATTGACCTGAGTGAGAGCTGTTAACGATAGGAAGATTTCGGAGGTTACTAATTCAGAGGGTCACCCACACGTTGCACGTGACTTAATGGCATCGATCAACAACATTCCTGTCTTCTCAAAATGATCATCAGGCTGAAACCTGGTTCTGGTAAAAAAAAAAATGCCTGCCATCCTGCTCCACTGATTTCCTTCCCCTCTCCACTGGTCCTCCTTTGACAGCCCTCCCTACTTCTTCAAGCAGAGCTTGCTACATGGGCATCTTCTATACTGTATGGACAAGGCATGGGATCATGGCCCTTTGGCCTGAAATTATAGAACAAAGGGTGTTTTGCTGCTTTCCTCAAATCAAATAGTAATAATAATAAAAAATATGTCCTGTCAAGTCTATTCTGACCTATGCCTACCCTTTTTTAGGGTATTCTAGATAGAGAATATTCAGAAGTGGTTGACCATTTCCCTTCTTCTGAAGGTAGGTCCGGGACTGTGTGCAGCTTGCCGAAGGCCACACAGGCTGGATCTACGTGCAGGCGGCACAGCGGGGAATCGAACTCTCAGTCTATGGCTCCACAACAAACCACTGAGCTATCCAGCCAAATTAAGATGCACAACAAAAAGGGGTGTGTATGTGTTGCTAAGTTGATATCATTAAGGAGGGAGAGGCGAAAAGCCCCAAACCCAACAGAATGTGTGGAATTTGTTTTAAATGTCCACTGCCAACAGGAGCAAACATTTTAAAAGAGCAGTTTCCATCTACTACAAACAAATAGTGACCACGACTCTTTTTTAAAAACTCATCATCCGGAGAGATCATGAAGCAACCTCATAATCCACCTCTAACCTGCAGATGGCACTATATCACTTCCCACCCGCTTAATTATTATCCATCACAGTTTTAATCTAAGATTCTAAAGAACAGAGCAGGGTCTATGCAGATCTCCCACCCATGCCCGTTTCATCTTCACAAACCTCTGTGAAGACATCTGAGACACTAACTGGCCCAAGTCTACCTCCTGAGCTTCATGGTATGCCAAATAAACCTTCTAGGAGAATTTCATATCCATATCTTCCCAACACTTTAATCAATACAAATCATCATCATCATGTGTTGTCAATTCTGACTTATGGCTACCCTTTTCCAGGATTTTCTAGGTAAAGAATACTCAGAAGTGGTTGACCATTTCCCTTCTTCTGAAGGTGGGTCTGGGACTTGGGCAGCTTGCCCAAGGCTATACAGGCTGGATCTATGTGCAGGAGGCACAGCGGGGAATCAAACTTCCAACCTCTGGCTCCGCAGCCAGGTACCTAAACCAATGAGCTATCTAGACAGACAGACAGCCACTATAACACTTTAATCTTATGTACTGTACATGCAATTACCTAGAAGTAAGCACCACAGAGATCACTGGGACTTACCTCTCAGTAAATATATTGTGCTACTTGTAGAATGCAAAGATTTTCTTCATTGGTTCCCAAAATAGTCTGGACGTTTGGCCAGTGTGGGTGAAACAAGCTGAAAACCCTTAGTCTTAAAAGAAAATACTACAAATACTCATCTCTAGAACTGGTGAAGTTATTTTTTAATTAAAAAAAACAAGTTTTTCCTCTTTACCAGTGGTTAGAAACTAATTCATCGGTATTCCTCATTATAGCATTTTAAAGAAGGAATAGCTCATTGTGTTGATCCTTCTTTTTAAAAAGAAAAACACCAAGCTTTGGCCGGTAGAATGTGAAACATTCCTATCAAGATGCCTTTAAATTTGTTTTAAATCTCCTTTAACAATAACTTCACCCAGTAACTAGAAGGCTTATTTGGTATACCAATATGAGAACTTTGCTTCTACTGTTGAGAGCTATTACAGCAGATAGAAAATCTCACTGGGACTGAAGAGACCTGGGTTCAAATCTCCATTCAGCCACAAAAAAAAAACCCTCCCTGGCAGTGGCAATGGTATAAGCTACTCCTTGAACACCACCACACAAACCCTGAAAACTCTACTAGGGATGCAGTAAGTTAGAAGTGACTTCACAGCATATAACAACAGTAGTTACAGTGCTTTGCTGCTTGTCTGTTAACCTCCTCCCGGAGCAAAGAGCAAGCTAATTACAGAATGCATTCAACTCCTTCTTTCCCAGCTCTGCTCCTCTCCCTCCCATACCAGCTCTTCTTGGGTGACTTTGCCAGCCAGGAAAAAAAGGGTGCTCACCTACACAGCCTATTGTCAAGATCCCATCCTTGTAGATCTCCTGGGTGAATCCCCCAGCCTCCATGGCCACATCTGTCTGGTGCTCCACCAGGACTGCTGGGATCTCGTCTTCCTCCTCTGAATCTTCTGAGTCCTCAAGGGTGTGCTGAGCAATGGCTGTATCCCGCTCAATTTTTTCCCTCCAGCTGCTCAAGTCCACTGGTGATGGAAAGGTGGGGGAGAGAATGCCAAAGAAACAACCAGCAACAACACAAACAGGACACAATTGGTTAGGACCCGAAATCAGGGCACAATCAGACAGGGCTTTCTCCTGTCGTCTGGTCTATCTACTTTGGGGACGGGCTGGCTCTCTCTTTTTTCCAGCGACCACATGACATACGGGTCATCGCATATCACCTTGTCCCTTTTCCTTGCTCCCCTGCACCTTTTTGGGTCTCTGTAAGGGACTCTTGCTTTCCTGGTGTGGGTAGGAACTGCTCCATTTTGGCTTTTCCAGTGACCACATGACGTACGGGTCATCACATGTCACCCTGTCCCTTTTCCTCGCTCCCCTGCACCTTTTGGGGTCTCTGTAAGGGACTCTTGCTTTTCTGGTGTGGGTAGGAACTGCTCCATTTTGGTTCAGTTCTGGCGCGTGCAATCACCAGGACTGGACCAAAATGGGGTAGCTTAAGCAGTCGCTTTCCTTAAGCCACATCAGAATCTGATCCTTGATGAGGAAATGGAAAGCTTCAGCCTGCTCCCCAGCCCCTGGGGAGGAAAACAGAAGAGGTGTTTCTAATAAAAAGCCCTTTGAATCCAGTGCTGAATTGGATGCACAGCAAGCCAACTCAGTGCTATATCTGTTTAATATATGTTTTTTTTTAAAAACTGAACACTTCATCCTGCTGCCCCATAGAAGGAGAGACAGTAGGGGGAAAGGAGACAGCGAGATGTGAGGCCAGCTCTGGGTCAGAGTTGCAACAGGGGCATCTCTCTCTCTCTCTCTCTCACACACACACACACACACACACACATCTGGGGAGCACTACCATCCTTCTGCCTTCAGAACCTGTTGGAGCTAGCACCACCATCCTTCTGCCTTCAGAACCTGTTGGAGCCTCCTCCTCTTCCACCACCAGGTTGTGAGAAGATGCCACAGTACACAGGGCTCTATTAAGGCTGGAAGGGAGAGTGGAGTGATGTGGCTCCAACAGCAACACAGATGCCCATCTCACCCTCCTTTTTTCTCTGGCATGAAAGCCAACTGGCACTGCCGCCACCACCACTCTGTGGCCTGTTCTCCACCCCACATCAAGGGACTGGAGCACATGAGAAAATCCTTGTTGATTTCTACTTCTTCGGTTTCCCTTTAAAGGGGGGACGGACTAAAGAACCTTTATCCAGCTGGAAGCAGTCTGGCTGTCTAGTCGTACCCTTAGCCTCTAGATTTACGGTTGAGCCCTACTCATGCTTACCAGCAACAGGATTTTAGTCCCCAGTTAAAACAATTACTACAGAGTAAAGAGAGCTTGGGAAAGTTACTTTTTTTTGGCTACAGCTTCCAGGATATCCAGCTGGTGTGAACACTGGCCACACCGGCTGTGGCTTCTGGACATCTGCACTGAAGAAGTCATGTTTCCAAATGCGGACAGAGCCCAAATCACAGAATGATGCAAGCAGTGGTTGCCTCACCTCTGCCGGCCACGATGCTCTCGCAAGCGCTCAGCAACTGATCCGGCCCCACGGCGGTACTCCATCCCTTTCGACGCTTCCTGCGTTTCTTAAACACTGGAGGAGAGGAGAGAAAATCAAGACTAGGAGCAAAGGCTAATGAGGACACATGGTTCCTAAAAGATACTAAGATTTCATGGGGTTTTAAAAGGGGGGGGAGGCATGAAATTAAACCAGCTGCTTCATTGCCATCACATGCACCCTAATGCAACAGGATTTTGGCCATTTTATTAAAATGTAAATTGCGATACAGAACAAAAGACAAATACTATATACTTAACAGAAGAATGCAGGATATTTTAAAATATGTAAAGTATATAAGCTATCAAAACATCTGGGAAAACAGACATTTTTGCTGTACTTAACCCAAACTTTGTTCACAGATTCAAAATTCAGAGATTACTCTATCAGATTCAGATAACAATCCATGACTACAAGACAGTAGACCACCAGGCTGCATTGTGGACTAAGGTGGGCCATTTGCAGGCCACTGTGGATCTGTGAACTCAGCTCAGGAATCATGCAAACTGGAGGTGACAGCCTGGATGTTTCCAACTGTGTTGATTTACCGCTTCTTAAAAAGAAAAAGCTAACATAACATGATGGCTGGCTGGAAAGAAGCTTGGTCAGGATAGTATGAAGACAACCAACACTAGCTTAAGCACATAACGAACAAGTTAAACATTATTATTTATTATCTCACTTAGTCTATGAAGCCTAATTTGTTGATCCAGGCCTGAGATAACAGCAAATCGGAAAAACAACTGTACCCCAGCATAGTGCTGACTGGTGGTCATACTGCACAGTCTATTTTCGAACACTACCTGCACTGGGATCTTGGCTTTGTTGTGGGTAGGAGGTGAAACAAACCACATGGACCTCGGGGAACCGATTCTTGAAATAGTGCTTCCAGGCCACCACCAGGGCCGGCGGTGCCAAGTCAATCTTGTTCAATACCAGGATGAGGTTTCTTTTCATGTCCTTGGTCACAAAGTCATAGAGGGCAGGAGAGAAATGTATGATCTGGGCAGAAAGGGTCAGAAAAGGGAGAAGACAGTCAAGTTGTACACGCAATCTCTAATGATAAGAACAAAGAACATCTCCTCTGGGTGAAAACATGATTAGAACAGGATGAAGCATGGAAGTGGTGGCCTCCTCTTTCTTCTCTCTGCACAAGAGTAACCTGTGGCCCTCAACGTTTTCGACTACAACTCCCAGCATTCTTGACTCAAGCTCATGCTGGCTCAGATTGATGGGACTCATAATCCAACATTCATTCATTCATTCATTCATTCATTCATTCATTCATTCATTCATTCATTCATTCATTCATTCATTCATT